AGTGAACGTGTGCCTCGAAAGTATCATGTAAATTCGCCCCTTGCCCCTATGAGTCCTGCAGGCCAGCGCTCGCCGTCACTAACCCAAGCCCACCTACGCGGCAAGGGAGCCTTTACTGGGTTGCCTATTAACCATTTTGTTCAATGGGATAAGTCTATCTCCGCGAACAGTCAAATTGCTCAATTTGAGCTCTCGAAAATATCTATCAACCTTTTGTTTAGCAGGACAAATCTATCTCTACGAACAGTCAAATTGCTCAATTAACTCTTGAAAGTATCTATCACCCGATTACTTTTTTACAACAAACAACTTAGAAATCCGACTATCTAACCAGGGGCATGTTTATTTACATCCCAAAAGAACGTCTATCTCTTTATCTACACCCCAAAAACACAAGTGAGAGCCGAACCTGAGGTCCATCGTCGGCTACTCCACCCAGAGAGATCCAAAGGCGCATGGTCACCGCTCCTCAATGCCGCCGGCTAATGGATCTATCATCCAGCATATACCCATCGCCACGATCCTGGCTGCTCCTTAGTGCAGAGCAGTATGGGATACGGCGCCCAGGTCTGGCAAATCAGGGGCCATGCTGCCTGCTACTTTCTTTTGATGTCCGCCGTAATGGCGGTTCAAAGGTTTGTGAGCATGATCGTGCGCAGTGCCACAAAGGTTGGCGGCCGGTGTTGAAAGAGGAGCTGCGTACGAAGCGCCCAGACCGCACCCAGGAAGGCCGCTCTGATTATCTCAATAGCGTAGGCTTGCAGGCCGCGTATCGGCGGGCTCAGGAAGGCCGGGCCGATCATTAGGCCATCATTCCAGGCTTCCGGAGTCATACACTCTATGTCGCCCCCGACCTCCCGCCTCCACCATTCCCAAAATTGCTGTTGCGGGGCGCAGCCATACCATATATGGGGAATATCTTCGCAGTCTGCGTCGCAAACCAGGCACTTCGTATCAGAGAATGACAAGCGCTTCGCGATCCACTGGTTGGTTGGGAGGACTAGATGGATATTCAGCCACAGTAGCCCTGCATGCTTCTGATTGGGGAGGACCTGGAGGCGAGTGACCGTAGCCTTCCAGGTCCGCGACGTCCAGTGTTTGGTGCGGTCTTTCGCCAGCCATCCTTTCCTGTTCCATCGGTGGCGCAGCTCCCGGTCCATCAGGTAGGGAGGCGCTAGCGATGTGTAAATAATCTTTGTACAGACTTGGTGCAGCGGGAGAGGTTGGCGTTGCAAGCCTTGCGCTTTCCAGGTCCACATTGTCGGTTTGACAGATAGTTGAGAGGGCCGCTTTTCTGCACAGAAGACGTGGTGCACCGCCGACGATGCAGCTCTTCTGTCCGTGACCACCGTGACTGGTCGTACGAGGTTTCGAGGCAGCCAGCCATCCCTAGCCGAAGACCGGACGAGGGGGGGGCCGAGTAGGCCATTGGTCGGCACGTTCTCCCAGGCTTCCGCCACCAACCAGTCATTTCCCACCTGCGCTTGGATTTGGAACACCGTCCGGACAGGGTCCTCAGAGCCCATCACAACCCACTCTCGCTCAAACTTCTTCTCAGATCTGAGGGCCTCTATCCATTCTGCAGGGATAGCCTGTTTAACACGGTGGAGACGGTCCAGTTTGCGTGTCTGTCCTTCCAATTGTTTAAGTACCGACCGCTCCTCCCTCCAATCTTTTCCTTGTAGGTCCCAGACATCCACCACCCGTGCGACCCCTGCCCCAAGCTTTTCCAAAGGCTCCCTTGGTACCTGTCCATGGAAACGACACTAGCCCCACTTCATCACAAATCTGTGGGTTACCAAATAGCGGCTGTTGAAGGATTTGCTCTGTTGAGGTTGGCGAGTTAAGGGAGAGCGGCTCCAGGTCCCTCCAAAGCTTTAAGAAGGGTGACCACAGGGCCCCCCGCTTGAGGTCCGTCAGAATGGCCGGTTGCAGCAGGGCAGTCTCCATGTCCGCAGGATGTACTCGCGCCGCTTCAGCCATCGTCTGCAGAGTCAAGATCTTCCAGGGGGCATCGTCTCGCTCCATGAGGAGCCAGAGCACCGTGCGGAGCTGTAGAGCCTGAGCTTGGGTAGTCGGGTCGATCAGTCCCAATCCACCGCCCCTTCTAGGCTGTGTGAGTTTATGCCACAAAATTCGATGAATTGCCTGCCTGCGGGGCGAAGGGATCATTCTTCCAAACGAACTTGGTCAATGCAGACTTATATTCCCGCTGGGGTACAGGTTCAGGTGTGGAGACAGGAGCGACATACCACAGCGTCGCCGAGGCCACTGAGTTCGCAAGGAGGGCTCTACCAAATACACCTGCGTCTGAAGTCTTCCCACAAAGAGCCAGCCTTGCAGCCGCCTTTCTCATCAGCTGTTCGATCTGCGTGCCATCGGTGAGAGCATGAGGAAGCTCTATACCGAGATAGGTCGCATCGTTTGTTGCCGGCTGCACTCTCATTCCCTCGAACAGCGGGGCCGCATTCATATCAGGGACCAGGGCAACTGACTTGTGCCAATTCATCCGGGCTCCTGCAAATTCGTCGAAAATGCCCACCTGATTTCGCAGCGCCTGGACACTTCTAGCAGTGAGGGCAGTAAATGCCCCTGTATCGTCTGCAAAGGCCGATGTCTTGAGCTGTCTGCCGCCCGGGAGCTGTAGGCCCACCAGGTCTGCATCAGCTCGGAGCATATCATGGAGGTGCTCGATGTACAGTGCATACAGCGCTGGCGATAGGGGGCAGCCTTGTCGAACTGAGCGCGTGATGAAAATAGGCTCCGATAGATAACCATTAACGAGGAGGCGGGATTTAGCCGAGGCCAAAAGGTGACTGATCACAGAGAGAAACCTCGGTCCAAATCCCCTCTGGCGGAGCCCCTCCAGCAAGAATGGCCATGAGACTCTGTCATAGGCCTTTTCAAAATACAGCAAAACAAACGCTAGAGGCGGATCATGCTGCGGGGCGTGCCAAAGCACTTGCCTGGCGAGGAGGATGTTTGTGAGAATGCGCCGGCCGGGGATAAACCCAGACTGCATTGAGTCCACAATATCAGGAAGTCTGCGAGCTAGGCGATTGGCCAAGACCTTTGCCAGGAGCTTGTACAAGGCTGAGAGTAGCGAGATGGGCCGCCAGTTCCGGATCTCCTTCGGGGGGGCTTTTTTATGGATCACGTAGCAAGGCCAAAGTCATCAGGGAGAGGGCTGCGGTCGTACCATACATCATTGAAGCCCTCTCGGAGGTGTGGCAAGAGGATGTCTAAGCATGCCTTGAGGTGTTCCACCGGCATCCCGTCCGGTCCCGGGGCCTTTCCTGAAGGCATGTCAGCAAGTGCGCCCTTAGTCTCCTGTTCTGTGACCGCCTCCTCGAGTTCCCTCCGTCTGCATCCGCCAGTCTTGTAGTGATCTTCGCCCAGATGGACTCCGCCGGGGCGGTTAGCATCTCCTCTTCCGACCTATGCTGTTCCTCGCTAAACAGGTAAGAGTAAAACTGGTGAGCAAGGTGCAGTACATCCGGAGTGGTATCCGCCAGCGGGCCGTCCGGTTGGAACGGGGGCTGCAGTGCGCTCATCACAGAGGTGGGCCGTTTTTCGTGGACCCTCCGGAAAAAGATTTTCGTCATTCGCTCCGCCTCCGCTGTCCATTGGGCCTTATTGCGCAGTCCCCATGATTCCGCGTCCTGCAGTTGCCACTCGTTCCATTCAGCCCGGAGCGCGACCCATTGTGTCCCCCACTCCTCCTCGTCCTCCTCAGCGAGCGGGCCGTCCCCTAGTTCAGTTGCCCGTCTAATGAATGCTTTCGCTGTGAGTCTTCGCACGCGCTTTGAGGACAGCACCGCCTGTTTAAGCAGTCTGGCCAAGGCCTCCGTACCTGCTGTCAGCCAGTGAAGGGCAGGCTGGTCTGGGTGCCTCAACCGTTCCCATTTTGTTTTTTTTTTTTGTTTTTTTTTTTTTTTGACCAAACAGCTCCAGTCTATTGGTGGGGAGCATCACCTGCCGGGAAACGGGCCCAGCGTCCCAAACCAGAAAGGGGGAAGAGGGGAGAAGAATGGGGAAGGGGGTATCAGCTTTGTCCTAGGACAAGGCTGCAGGCGGCAGAGGTCAGTCTCAAGCGAAATCAGGGGGACCCAAATCCTGTGAAGCGTTCTTGTCGGGAGGCATGTAGTGCACCCTGTCACAAGAACGGAGGACAGGTATGGTTCACCTGCTAGGCTTGAGGCTTCCTCCTCACTCCCCCCAGGGCCAACAACCCGTTAACATATGTTTGCCCCAAGGAGGCCCAATAGGTCACATAGTTGCAGTAGTTACCTAGGAATTGTTTTTTTTTTTTTTTTTTTCTTTTTTTTTTTTTT